TACAGGCTAGTGATCTTAGAGTATATTATTAGCAGTTTCAATGTTATTCAGGTGGTCACTAGAGTTACCCAGAGCTTTGTAGAATGGGCGTGTTCTTATCTAGATAACAGTTGAAGAAAGTATTGGTGCTGCTAGGTACAGGACACTCTGGGTAAGAAGCTGAGAAGCCAGCAAGGATGCAGGTGGATCTTGAAATTCATCAATTCTGGTAGAATTAACTGGGAATAAAAAGGAAGTAGCGCTTTCCACCAAGACGGCACCACAAGCGAAGAAAGAAGGCAAAGTGAAGGCTCTGAAAGCCAAGAAGGCAGTGCTGAAAGGCACCCACAGTCTCAAAAATGAAAGATCCACACATCACCCACCTTCCAGAGGTCCAAGACCCTGTGACTCCAGAGGCAGCCCAAATACCCTCGAAAGAGCATGTCCAAAGAGAAACAAGCTGAACTACTATGCCATCATCCAATGCCCCCTGACCACCGAGTCAGCCAGGAAGAAGACAGAAGACAAAAACATCCTCTTGTGTTCACTTTGGATGTCAAGGCCAACAAGCACCAGATCACACAGGCTGTGAAAAAACTCTATGACACTGATGTGGACAAAGTCAGTAATAATGCACTGATAAGGCCTGATGGGCAGAAGAAGACAACTCTTCTGTGGATGCCTTCTGATTATGATGCTCAGAATGTTGCCAACAAAATTGGGATCATCTATGCAGGCAGTTGGCTAATTTGAAATACACATTTTTTTCACCATAAAAACAAAAATCACCAAAAAAGGAGAAAGGGGCTGGAGAGATGGCTCAAGAGTACGTTCTGATCTTCTACATGACCTGAACTGGGTTCCCAGCATGTGTACAGTTCACAACAGACTATAAAACCTGCTCTAGTAGATCCTTTGTCCTCTTTTGACCTCCACTAACATACACATAGGTCATACACACAGAGAGAAAGACATACATTCAAAATAAATAAATATTTTTGAATTTAGAAAGGAAGCATAAACGCCAAGAAATTCTTTAGGGAAAGAAATGCTTAGGACCTAGGAAAATGGCTTAGTCAGTAAAGTGCTTGCCTTGCAAGCCTGAGGACATGATTTCAATCACCAGCACCCATGAAAAAAAGCCAGATGTAGTAGCATGCATTTGAAATCCCAGTTCTGGGGAGGCAAAGACAGTCAGTTCATGGGTAACTGCTGACCAGGCAGCCTAGCCTACTTAGTGACCCCTAGGCCAGGGAATAAGATGAGCAGCATCAGAAACGACATGTGAAGTTGGCTTCTGGCCTCTAATGCATGTGCACACACACTAACAGAGAGAGAGAGAGAGAGAGAGAGAGAGAGAGAGAGAGAGAGAGAAGGAAAGTGTAGCGCACCACACCCATCTGCGCTCTACGCGCTACCATACAGTTCCTGAACCGGGCAAGGGGCTGGAGATTGAAATACACAAAGGCAGACGGTCAGAGACACAGGTCATCCTTGATGCCAGAATGCCCCCTTTATCGTGTCCAGGGGCAGCTTATATAGGGATCCTTAACTGATAGCCACGCCCCATCCAAACCCACCAGAAACCACTCCCCTGCCATCAGGAACTCCTGAGGGTCTCCTGCCCAGAGCAGCTGCAAGCATTACAACAGGATCTGGGGTTTCACAGCTCCCAACAGGAAACAAAGAAAGAAGGGAAGAAGGAAAGGAGGGAGGGAGGGGAAAGGGAGGGAGGAAAGAAATGCTTACTGGGAAGCAAAGAGACAGACGGCTTGAAAATGGGGTAAAAAATGGGTAAAAGCAGTAGCCACACACTAGCCACACAAGCCTAATGACCTGAGTTTAATCTGCAGAACCCATATAAAAAGCCAAAGGTGATGGAAACCATCTGGAATCCCAGCACTCCTATGGCAAGATGGGTGGCAGAGAGAGAAAAGTCAACCAGAAGCTTTTAGACCACCTAGCCTGGTGTATGAAGTGCAGTGCAATACAACAGAAAACAAAAGAGAGATCCTGACTCCGCAAGGTAGAGGGCAAGAATTCCTCCTGTAAATTGTTCACTGATGGCCATCTATGCGCTGAGGGCTACATGGGCAGTACTTTCATGCATGTGCACTCTCTCTCTCGCTCGCTCGCTCTCTCTCTTCTCTCTCTCTCTAATTTTAAGTTGAGAAATAATTACGGGACTATTCAGGTTACTTTTTCAGTCCATCCAACTTCAGACATCAAACAGCCCTTTCATCCCAAGCAAAAATTGGAGGTTCTTTGTGAAAGAAGGCAAACTGATACAAACGCCATCCACCCCACTGTGTCACTAGAGAGATGCGTACAATAATATAAGAATTGCAAATAAAATAGAAGAAACTTCTCAAAGGGAAAAAAAACTAAAAGGGGAAATTTATAACACAGACTAAAAACAATATCATTGAAGAAATCTATAAAAATGTTATGATAACAGCTGAGATAAAAGAATGTATTTAAATACCACCATCAATGAAAAGCTTCGTGGGTGTCAGGAATCACAGAAGAACTACAATGCACACTGTTTTTGCACAAAGCTTCAGGCCCCCATCTTGGCAACTGGGCATTTCATAGAAACAGATAAAACTGTGTTTTGTTCTCTATCATAACCCCCAACAAGGACGCCTTTGTAAAGTTTCATTTTCTAGAACTACCCAACCTCTCAGAATATATAGAGGAGACCTTCTACATCCACCATGGCCTGAAAGAATGATGCTGGTCTTAGGGTTGAATGGCACAGATCCTAACCTCACAACTGACTCCACGATAGCCGGGCGGTGGTGGTGCACACCTTTAATCCCAGCACTTGGGAGGCAGAGGTCTCTCTGAGTTTGAAGCCAGCCTGGTCTACAGAGTGAGTTCCAGGACAGTTAGGGCTATCCAGAGAAACCCTGTCTCAAAAAATAAAACAAAATAAGCAAGCAAACAAACAAAAAGACCTGACTCCATGAACCAGTTCTCCTTTCTGAGCTTGCTTCCTTGCCTTTAGAATGGAGAAAATTCAAGGCAAAATGTCATGATTAAATATACTGTGGAAATAATTATTTTGTTGACAGGGAACTCATGGAGGCAGGCACTTCAACCTGTCCCAGCCCTACCTTGGGCAGAGAGAGCTAATAAGAGCCCTATATGTGAGCGGGGCTGAAAGTTGTGGTGAAGAAACTTCCCAACATACTGATCTTCAAACCCAGTGCTACATAAACTTGGGAGACATAAACAAATGCCCACTCACTCCAGCATCAACGACAGATCAAAGTACTAATCCCATCCATATCTTAGTGAACCAATGAGCTTATCGGTGTCATTTACTGGAGCATGGGTAGTAACCCCAAGACAGTGATGTCACAGAAGTCTTACTCCAGCATGGGTAACAAAATCTCCAAAAGCAACATAGATTGACTCCCCACTTAAGTTGACCGCACATACTCACGTATTGTAGCACCGCAGGAAACTGTGTAGCTGGGGCAGAATGGCATACAGCTGTTCTGATCATGATGGCAATGTTTGGTTGCTACCTCTATTCAGAGGTCCACATTCCAGAACACACGGAATCTCTGGGGTTCTGGGGGCTGGGGGGGAAGCACATATGGGCTGAGACTATATAGCTCAGTGGTAGAGCGAGCCAAAAGTTTAAAGAAAAGCACCTATAACCCAGAACTTGGCCTCCTTCCTTATCGCCCAACTGGTTGCCATGGAAACCCCTAATCACACTTTCAAGGCTTCATTAGCACTGCCATTTTGACTGTAATAAAGACAGAAAATACGGCTTTAATATAGTTAGCTTTTCATTAATTGCTTTTGTCGAAGAATTTTTCTGCCATTTAATGAAGAAGAAAGCAAACAGCAGTAATTTCCCCAAAAGGTCAGAGAGTGGGAACATATGGGAAATTTGCCTCTTGGAATGGTGTGGTCTTGCCTGATGAAATACCATCCCTCTGAGTTCAATGTTGCTGTTTACGCAATAGGTGTGACAGAAAATTGGAAAGCACTGGCTGTGATGACAGTTCCATTTCTGAGGGCTCAAGATTAACAAGGAATCATTAGCCGTGTCCTCCTGCCACATTAGGTGTTAAGATTAGCAAGGATCTAAGACCCAGAAAGGACTCCACAATATCAATGTAGTCTGGACTTTGATGGGTGCTTCCAAGCACAAGGACTCTGGGAAACTGAGTGCTTCGGAGAAGACTATGGATGTGATAATTGCCTGTTTTATTGTGCATAGGTTCCAGTCATTGGGCACTTACAATACAGTCTTGCACCTTACACTCTCTACCCCTTCTTGGCATCTCCTCACTGAATTCTTACCCTCAAATCTTATAAAATATGCACTGTTGTTGTCCACATTCAACAAAAGAAAATCAGAGGTTAAGGAAGTTAGTAACTCTGTATTCAGTACTGAGTAACAGCCCCCCAGTCCAGAAAAAGGAAAAGGGAAATGGAGCAAAACCACCCCAGGAAGAAGAATTTCAAAGGGAAGGGTTAGAGAGATGACTCAGAGGTTAAGAGCACTGGCTGCTCTTCCAGAGGTCCTGACTGAGTTCAATGCCCAGCAACCACATGGTGGCTCACAACCATCTGTAATGGGATCTGAGTCCCTCTTCTGGTGTGCCTAAAGACAGGTCACTCATATACGTAAAATAAATATTTTTTTAAGAAATAAAAAGGAAAGAATTTCGAAGGGGCTGGGAGGATGATGCCAGGAGTCAAACGCTGGCTATGCAAGCTTGAGATGCTGAATCTGAATCTCCAGAACCCATGTAAAAGTCAGACATGGCGATCGCACGAGGGACGCAGCCACCTACTCCTGCGCAGCCGCCGGGTCCTCCAACTCAGCCGCACAGGTTCAGTCTACCAAAGTGATGATTACGGAGAAGCCTGCTGGTCAGGCGGGAGTTTGTGCGACAGTACTACACCTTGCGGAACCAAGCCCAGACAAGCTACACAGTATTTTATGGGAAGAACCCTCCCTGTGCCCATGGGGGCTTGGACTCCAACGGGAAGCCAGCAGATGCAGTCTACCTATGGGCAGAAGGAAATCCACAGGAAAGTGATGTCACAAAACTTCATCAACTGCCACACCAAGATCTGCCACGTGGATGCTCATGCCACTCTGAATGATGGGATGGTGGTCCAAGTGATGGGGCTCCTGTCCAATAATAACCAGACTCTGTGGAGGTTCATGCGGACCTTTGTTCTTGCTCCTGAGGGGTTCTGTTGCCAACAAATTTTATGTTCACAACGACATCTTCAAATACCAAGATGAGGTCTTTGGTGGCTTTGTCACTGAACCTCAGGAGGAATCTGAAGAAGAAGTAGAAGAACTTGAAGAAAGACAGCAGACACCTGAGGTGGTGCCTGATGATTCTGGAACTTTCTATGATCCGGCTGTCAGCAATAACTTGGAGGAACATTTAGAGGAGCCTGTTTTGGAGCCAGAGCCAGAACTGGAACCTGTGCCTGACATCCAAGAGGACAAGCCTGAGCCACCATTGGAGGAAGCTGCTCCCGAGGATGTGCAAAAGAGCACTTCCCCGGCCCCAGTGGATGTTGCCCCAGCGCAGGAAGACTTGAGGACCTTTTCTTGGGCATCTGTGACTAGTAAGAACCTTCCTCCCAGCGGGGCTGTTCTGGTGACAGGGACACCATCTCATGTGGTTCATGTGCCGCCTTCACAGCCCCGTTCAGAATCTAAGCCTGAATCACAGAATCTACCACAAAGGCCTCAGAGAGATCAGAGAGTTCGAGAGCAACGGATCAATATCCCTCCTCTTAGGGGACTCTGGTCAATCCGTGAGGCTGGTGAAGCAGGAGATGTGGAACCTCGAAGGATGATGAGGCACCCTGACAGTCACCGACTCTTCATCGGGAACCTGCCACATGAGCTTGACAAGTCGGAACTGAAGGATTTTTTCCAAAATTACAGGAACGTGGGGGGAGCTGCGCATTAACGGTGACGGGAAGTTACCCAACTTCGGTTTTATTGTGTTTGATGATTCTGAACCTGTTCAGAAGGTCCTTAACAATAGGCCCATCATGTTCCAAGGCATAGTCAGTCTGAACGTGGAGGAGAATAAGTCTCGTACTGCCAGGGAAGGCAACCACAAGGATAACCGTCTTCGGGGACCAGGAGGTCCCTGTGGTGGGCCAAGTGGTGGGATGAGAGGCCATCCCCATGGAGGCATGGTGCAGAAACCAGGCTTTGGTGTGGGCAGGCAGATTACAACTCCAAGGCAGTGAATTGCTTGGTCCCGATCTCCACACAGCACACAGCCCTGGCTCCTGCAGAATGGTGATTTCTTCAACCAGCCTTTGGTGTCTCGGAGTAGTCTATTATAAACTGCTCGAGTTTGTACAATTTTCATTTCGCTTATGTTCATGGTGTGTGCCCCCACTCTCCTTTCCTCCCCTGACCTTTTAGTCCTTCACTTCCAGTTTTCCAGAACGATACTTTAGGAGGCGTAGGTTTTTAAAGAAGAGGAGGGGAGACTCTCTTTTCCTGCTCACGCAGAAGACACAGACTGGAGTTTAACAGCCATTCCCCAAAGGAGTGCATCTCGCTTTTCACTGACAATGGATGTTTCATTTGTTGGGAGACACAGGATTTGATAAACATTTTGGAAGCAGGGAAAATCCATATTATCTGTCAAGAGTTATGTCTCCTGTCTGGTGTGGAAAAATTACCTTTTGGCAACTGTCACTGGGTCCCTGTTGGTATGGCTAACTGGATAAAAGGTGTTTCCAGAACTTTGTTCTTTTGATATATGATTATCAAACAGTTCTAAACCTCTGTTTTTACCATTGGATTTTAAGTTGTGATGTAGCCTGTCAATATCTAGACCACAGCTAACGATTTTTGTTGAACTGTTAGATTATTTTGAGGTAGAGATTTTTATGTCTTATTTGTATTTGTAAAGAAAAAGAAAAAGAAAAAAAAGGACAAAAAAATCCCCACATGAAAACAACCCCCAAATCTGATAACAAAACTAAGCGAGACTGTACCTTTTATTTATCTTTGATTCTGGTCCTGGCAATTGTTTAAAGAAAACTAATAAAGATTCTAGATTTGTTTTCAGATTCAGACTATGTGGGGGAACTGTAGAATGTATGTGTCGTGTTAACATTGTTCCGCCTTATCCTAAAATCACGCCTCAGACTGGACCACTTTTGAGGAAGGTGCTTCTGTGAGGCCTCTGACCTCAGTGGCTGATGGGCCACCTTCTACTCTGCTGTCTATCTGGGTTCCTCATGGGACCATCAGAAGGATTTGGTTTGAATCTCAGACTTGGCTATTGTGCTGCAGGGTCTGCATATTAATTTTCATTAAATCATGGCCATATGGTAAATTTTCTATTCTGTTACGGTTCTCTTTTACTGATGGACATGCAGTGGGTGTTTCTTGGAAAAGGCCAATTTTTATTAAAATATTTCTGGAATTAAAAAAAAGTCAGACATGGTGGCACAAGCCTGTAACCCTGGTGCTGGGGGCATGGGGTAGACACAGGAGGGTCCCCAGGCCTTGCTGGTCAGCTGTTCTAGCTGAAATGGTGGGCTTCATATTCAGAGAGACCTCAGTAACTAAGGAAGAAAGTAATAGAAAATCCCTGAAGTCCACCGGCCTCCATGTGCACGGTCAAGTACACCAAATGCAACCACAGTGTGTTGCACATGCACACACACACATGCATACATTTCCTAAAAATTGATAATTTCCTATTATCCACAGACCTCAGAAGTCTATGGATGACAAGTCAAGTTGAATATCATCAGCATCTCAAGTCTTGCATTTGATTCTTCCTGCTCATGCAATGAAACTCCCCTTGCTCCATAAACATCTTCAAAGGATAGCTCTCCTGTGCCCGTGAATCAGCTTGTCAGCCACAATCACTATCTGGTATCTTTTCTCTCCCCTCTGACTCTCCCTGAACCCTCACAGTGCCGGCGTTGTCAGTTTCTAAAATTCGGGGTTCGGGCTACATATCAGTGGTAGTAGAGTATTTATCTACATGTATTAGGATATAAACTCAATCCCCAGTTCTAGGAGGGGGAAAAACTTATGTCCCTTACTAGGGCTCATATTTGTAATCCCAGCATTCAGGATGCTGACACGGGAGGATTGATGCAAGTTTGAAGTCAGCCTAGTCTACATAGCAAGATTCTGTTTTAAAATCTGTAGATGATAGATAGATAGATAGATAGATAGATAGATAGATAGATAGATAGAT